ATACGACGAACAATAATTGTCTTTGATAAAATCTTTGTTTAATAATTTAGTCACGGTTATTTCACCCACACGAATATTTACTACTAAAGAAATCCTCAATAATTAAGTTTAATTGTTAGTTGTATAACAGGTAACAGGGCGTGAAATTTCAACAAAAAATAACACTTGTTCGATAGTTTATCACGTCTTTAATGAACGAATGTTATCATTCAATTAATCGTTCACACTTCGCTGCATATATTGTTTTATATTAATTTTATAAGCAAACTTGTAATAATGTTTCAAATAAACAAAATTACTTTTTTATATTATAAGTACACAGCATTTATATTACATTTTCTACAGTATAAGTTTCAATTGGTTCAAAGATATATGTTACGATGAACTTAAAATTTACATAAAAATTATACTTCCAAAAAAGAAAGGAACAAAATTGCGTACAAAGTTTAGTTTTTAATTAGTAATTACTTATAAAAACATTCTCCCTTTTTTTAATTAATCAGCCCATTATCGAATATATCAAACTGAATTGAATTTATAGTTATACTAAATTTATCACGAGTTAAATTTATGAATGTTTTATAACGTGAAACCGATGATGAAATACTTTGAATGTGTCATTGTTTACTGCACTTAAAATTAAAAAATCCATTTGCCGAGCATACATTGATAAAGTTAAAATTTTGTTTATATAAAATCAATTGAGCCAATTCGCTTTGGTGAAAAATAATTTAAAATCAAGGCTATGAATATTGTTATAATTACAGCGTTGAGATTAAATAGCGTGTGTTATTGAGTAAAATGTGAACATGTAAAGAAAATCGCAGAGAAAATTATTTACACATTTTCTGAAATACTTTTGAGACTACAAAGAAAGAAGATTATTTAAAGTTTTTTTCTGTCTGTTATAGAGGTGATTGGGATCTTACTGATTTGTATGCATAGTTTTAATCAAATATTTGATTTCTTTTAATGTCACTTTAAAATTTGTTCCTACAATTTTTATGGAAAATATAAGTAAAAAGATGCTTTGGACTTATTGGAATATAAAATTTTATAATCACAGTCTTAAGCTATGTAAAATAAATAAATGACGAATTGTCGTTTAAAAATACAGACCAAAATCAGTTCTTCGGAGAGGACTAGTGGTTACGTGGACACAGTAAAGTCAACAGATTCATTAATCCTACTCTACTAGTTGGTAGACAATTACAAATGGGTGCTGTATTCAAATGTACAAAGGACAAAAAACAAGAAAATACTGTCTAACAAAATATTTCGTGAAATATACGTCAAGCACAAGCGCGTGCAGTTCTGTATTAACATGAATAAACAATATTTGAAATCGCGCCTTTAAAAAAATATTCAGTAGGATGGTCTCATTAATACTAATGTAATTGTAAAGCTATAATTTGACCCGTTTCAAACAACAAATTAGTGGATTATAAATGTATGAGCCCCGCCCTCAACGTCGATAACATTTTTTCATTTGTCTTTCCGTTTTGTTTCACTTTTACTTTTACGAATTATGATTTATATAATTATGGAACGACCCTTTCTTTACCTAATTATAAGTTTGGGATATTTTCCAATGAAGCAATAGATTTCGTACAAATTATTTTATGACTACGACTTGGTTGGTCGTGGAGTATTTTACTTACATGCTAAAAACGATTGCTACAATTTTTTATCCTATACATAAATGATTACAAAGTTTAGTTTTGATTCCAAAATTCTTATTTAAATTAATATTACCACTCCGTTTATTATTTCCATCGTAACAATTTTAAAACCTTTGTATTCCTTAAAATACCTTACCTTCATGAACAAATCATGCCGCTTCAATTTCAATATCGCGATTCCTTAATTACGAAATACTGACCTGCCACAACTTCCCATGAATTGAGCCCTCCGCTCATTAATCGTCGCGCCCTAACGAAGCAACAGTTTACCAGTTAACCCTACCAACACGCAAATTAACCCTTCTTCGAAACTGTTTACTCGTTTATTGAATTAGAACAACATTGTTTAGGGTTGGAGGGATGATATCTTGTTTGCAAGAAGATTCCGACGTTAATTAATAGCTTAACCCTTTCGCTGCTCTGTGATTTGACGCTTAATTGTTATGAAGATTTAGGGTTAATGGGTGGAGTTAATAACGTGTTGAGGTTTATAATCTTTAGAGTAATATTTCACTTGTTCATTTTGTTAGATAATTTTTTTTATATATATAATAGGGAGGCAAACGAGCCTGCGGGACGCCGAAAAAGGGCAGTCATCGCAGCCCATAGACACCCATTTTTAGTGGGTGCGTTGCCGGCCTTTGAGGGAGTACACTCGAATTTTGAATAGTTGGAGGTTGTATCTCTCAGGGAAGACCCGCACCGGGAGTTGATCCCACAGTTCACTAGTTCGCAAAAGAAAATGCCTTGTGAAACGGACTGTGGAAGACTTCCAGCCATCAAGGTGATGTTGATGAAATTTTGAATTCATACGGCTCGTACGGTGTTGAAACGAGGCTGGAGGGATCAACCCAAACAATTCACCCACCACAATACACTCACCTACCTACTACGACAAAAATGTCTATGCGCAGAATAACGCTATTAGCGTATTTGATATTCACTTACGTAGCGTTAAAGGCTCTAATTGCCATTGCATGCAAAGAACGTATATAAACAGCGAATAGAAACAATACAAACTTTATAGGAAAGTTTAATTAAAACATCAGGTTCAAATTGTCACAATAAAGCAGCACCCCAATCGACCTAAGTTCAAGAGAAATTTTCAAAACAAAAGTTGAAAACCAAAAGTTTCCAACAGGAAAATCGGAGTCAAGTTAAATGAGCAGCCCCCTAACTCCGTTAATTGCTTAATCGCCAACGTAGACAAGCTTAATTGGCCACTGACCGACCACTTAAATCCCGACAATCCCCGGCAATTTCCGACAACATCCGACAACTCTAAGCGTCTGTAATTACAAGGCGAAATGTTTAATTACGCCTCGACGCTTGGACGAAAATTAATTAGAAATTCAAAGTCCGACTTCGAGTTTTTCTTTGGGGGACACTGGGATGTTTGAAGCTTTTTGTTGGTTGACTGAAGGACATAATCTGCGGTTAGAGGTGGAATTTTTGTAGCTTGTAGGGATAATAAAAGCTGCAATCTTTACACTAGTAAGTGAAACACAAAACTTGTGATTGCTGACTTCATCATTTTAGGAAGATAGATACGGATTATCTAATGGAAAGGAGGTAAAAGCACATGGTTTATCATTATTTGGTTTATACATATTATTAAAAGAGCAGTATCGGCCCAGTGGCTTCATCGTGCGACTCTCATCCCTGAGGTCGTTGGTTCGATCCCCGGCTGTGCACCAATGGACTTTATATGTGCGCATTTAACATTCGTTCGAACGGTGAAGGAAAACATCGTGAGGAAACCGACATGTCTTAGACCCAAAAAGTCGACGTTGTGTGTCAGGCACAGAAGGTTGATCACCTACTTGCCTATTAGATTGAAAAAAAAACGCCACTGATTTTTTTATCATTATTATGCTAGTTTTAGAAGTTGCTAGAAAAGTAACAGCTGTAGTGGACGGCTTAAATATTTATAGAACTTATAGAATCAAATTCAGAATGGTAACGTTATATATACTTAAAATACCTAATCGTTTTGCATAAGATCTGATCATAGTTAAATTTCCTACACATTGTTCGGGAAACCTATTAACTGATTTGATTTCTATAAAGGGCAACAGACAAAGGCAAATCTTAAAAAATGCAAGCGAATACTACACAAAGACTCTTCAGCTCACAGCTTCCATTGGCCATAATATACTTAAGAGTAATGAAATTGACTCAGGCGCACTTAATTTAATATCAATCAGGGTAAATTACACTGCGGATGAGAGAGAATAAAATTAAAAGAAAAACCGATGCTAACAAGTCTCGGTTACAAATTAAACAGGCTGGGTGTCAGCCAACGAGCTTGCTGACTTAAGGAGATGAGAAAAATCTAATTACACCAAGACATTCCGCACCCGCTCTTTAATTGAGAACTTCTAAAGTCACTCTCCCTGCTCTCCGCTTCCTCACCTCCTGTTTGCATTTCTCCCTAATCGCGCTCCAGCGTCGATTACATTTTTTTAATTTCGTTCGGGCTTTTAATTTTCTTCGCGCTCGCCTTTTCTTTTGTGTCGCATTTTTTCTTTCCGGTGGATATTTCACACCGCCATTATACCGGTCGTAATGAGATTTTCTTTCATTATGTTTAATCTCCCGATTAATTCAAATGTTAATCTCCTCTTTTCACGAACGTTTTTACGGCTTAAATATCGTTGTCGTTGTAATTGTTCACGGATTTCGGATACGACGTTTGAAAATAATTAAAAAACGTGACTGACTGGTGTTTTCAGGTGATCGGTCCGGCAGATTAGATCGTCAATAATTTAATTCGCAACAAATTCAAAACGCCGGACCCCAGATAGGTGCGTCGAAACGTGTTCCGCACGCCAATGGCGAGTCTAGGAGTCGGCAAATTGAAAACACCTCCGGCGAGGCTGTAAACACGTCACGTGATTTAGGTTTTAATCAAGTAGGGACGCGCCGCCCGCCGTAATTGTGACAAATCCTCTGTTTGTCCGAAAGAACTTTTAACTCGGCAGCGAAACGGTCCCGTAACGGCTCTTCGCACGTGCTCAAACGAGGGACGGTTTTTTGTCGACACATGTGCCCTCTGCCGAAGGTGGCTTGATTAATTTTTAATATTTTTTCTTCCAGTTCACGTACGCAATTTTCACTTGCCCGTTTAGACAGCCTATTTCGTTACGAGCTTCCTGTATACATTGACTTTCGATTTGGGGTTTTGTGTACTCAGTATTTATCTGCTTAACGCTAATATGCGACAACTAGTTAAATTGTTAAATCGCCCGCGCTACACCTACATAACTCATTAGGGAATTAGTAAGACTCGCAATTGTCTCCGTAATAAAGGCAAAGATGATGAATAATTGCAGATACGTAATCGGTTACATCACTGCCATCGTCCTCATTTGTAAGTTCGAACGAACGTTGCTAGCGATTTATTGTTCCTAATCTTTCCTAATGTATTTCCTGTGACAATTTGACTATGAAAGATAAATAGTATTAGCGTTTGGAATTTTTGCGAGTTTTTCTTGATGTTACCTCTTGTGGGTCTACAGTTCATAAGCAATCCGGTACAATTATCGCATGGCGCATATCCCGATTAGACGACGCGACGGCAATTAGGTCGGCGGACATACGCGTTAACCTGCAATGAGGATACGCCTAAACACTGCTCATTGTACCGAAACGACTCTATTAGCATTCCAACTAATAAAGGCTTAATCACATTAGGTATATAAGACCTGCACAATCTGTATCTTTGAATGAGGTCCTTCAACACTATATGTAAAAATGAATGTTGAGAAATTCCTTGATACATACAAAAAATATGTTCAAGCTAACCATACAACGTTTCTAATATATCAATTACTGATATAATATGTAATATTTCAGGCATTACAGTAAAATATTTAACATGAGATAAATATTATTATCTCCATATAAACTTTAAAAAATGATCGTGAATATTAAAAAGATACTCTTAAAGTTTTTGCTAACGTTCTCGATGCACTTAGTAGAAAACCCTTAAAAGTTAATGTAAAAAGTTTGGCATCAGCGGTCAGGTCCCCCATTCACAAATGAGATCGGCACTCTTTGTGCACCTCAGCCCCTCGAAGTTCAAAGCGCAGGGCAATGTCCAAATTATAAATTCGCATTAGAACGGACGCGCACGGTTCGTTTACTATTTCATTTTGGTTCAATATCGCCTCTACTTTGTTCCACACACACCCTTACACCCCCCGCCACCCGCGCCTTAAGACGCCGGGAAATATCTGCGTTTTAAGCTATATTTCTTTCATCCCTCATTTTTGCAGTTCGTAGCAATCTGAAATCCAACACGTCCCCCGCAGGGTGAACCCCCGAGGTGGCACCCCCTCGTATTCTTGTACCCGGATAAAAAAAGCGATATCTATTTATAAAATGTACGCGCGGGTAACGTGTGTGGACGAGATTAGCGCGCGTGTGTGCGTATTCGCTCATTTGCAAACGTCTCCTGAGAGGTCCTCTGTCGGTTATCCCGCTCTTATTGCCTCTTTCTTTCCTTGATTGCCGACTCTGTGGAAAGTTTTAAGATCTCCAACGGATGGAAATTGATTTTGTCGTAGAGCGAAAAAGTTTCGCATATTGTCGTTGAGAATGTAAATAGGCCGTCAAATCTTGTATTTATGGTAAGTGATCTACGAATATGATTGCTCCATATTGTAACTGCGTATTAAATATGTTTACTGAAAGTCTAATTAATAGAGCTTGTTTATTCTAAAGCCTTAAATTGCGCTATAATAGTTTAGAATGCGTCGTTTATGTCTTATAAACAAACATTCTGAGTACAAAGTAACATACAAAAAGGGAATTTTATGTGAGCATTCTCAGTTCTTTACGAGAGGTATATTTGTGTAAATAAACTGCGCTCGTAGCTGTAGCCGTCTCTCGGCGCTCACGTATGAACGTAATTATAAAAATTGAAGGCAACGCGCTCCTTGGGATCTCTCCCTCGCTCCCGCGGCGTCGTGCATTTTTTCGTACATATTAAACTTCCCCCCACACCCGGCCACCCCACCCCGCGACTCCTCTTTTTAATCGATTTTCCCAACACAAGGGGTGAGTCCTCTGGGGTGAATGTAATTTTTTATGCGTTTTTTTCCATCGAAGGAGACCGTCGCCCGAGGTGCCATTACGCCACGGCTTGTTGAGAATATTTTAATTATAAGGCATTAGCGCGTTTTATGATAGCACTCCCGCTCAAGTTTATAAATGATCGAGAGCTAAAGTAATTAAATATTTGAATGCGGTGAGATTTCCGCAGGGAGTTCTAAGGAAGTTGAGATAATGGACGTTTGAGGCCACTCGGGCGGCGTGATGGATATAAAATACGATGAAATTATTGGTTAATGGCCGTTAAAATTGCTACGGGGAAGGAATAACGATTATGCATTTTCTTTACGCCATATCGCTCCCGATATACTTAGTAAAGAAGCCTACTTGAAGACACATGTTACAATTGATTTGAAGATATTCAATTGATTCATTTCTAACTTTACGGTAGTATTTTCTTACTATAATATGTACTAGATAAAGGTACTAAATCAAAATAATGTTAAGTCTTGGAAACGGAACAATCAAGAGGAATACGCAATTCATTTTGAGAAATTTACAACTACTCCCCTATTTACTGGTTTTAGGTTTAAATTCAAGAAAAAAAAGATTATTTACAAAAAATTGTCAATGAAATAATTAATATGCGATGGCCAATAGAACACATTCAGCTATTACAATTAATATTTATCTTTATTTTATTTATTCACACTTCGTTGCATTAACAAAAAACACATATAACACAATACATAAAAATTATAAGGGATGCAACGGGCGGCCTTATCGCTAACAAGCGATCTCTTCCTGGCAACCCTAGTAAGGGAAAAACTATAAAAATAATATTATGTGTAAAGTGCAAGAAGTGAATAACCAAATGTTTTAAAAAAATTATAGAACCTTAATCTAATATAATACAAAAAAAATATTAATAAAACAAACTAACTTTAATAACTTTGAGAAGTTGTAATAATTAATTACCCACACAATGTAAAGAACGCAAACTAAAAAACAAAGCCAAAACATTTTATATGCAAATAAGATTATAATGCGGTGAGGGAAAGGATTAGGTGCTTACACGCGTACTGGGTTACTGATGACTAACACCTGACACCAAGGGTTTCCTACCAGTACTCATTCATGCTTGAACGTTTTATAGAACCTTACCCAACCTATCTTAAACTTATTATGGCGTAGGCGACGTAAGCTAATGCTATTGTCGCTAACGTCATATTCTTTCTATTTTTAAATTTGTATTCAGGCCAGTTACATTGATGTTATTAAAACTACTTTTTTCAGCCTAATTTATATTGTTTATGTCTAATAATAAACTCCTTCAACTAATTATTCAAGGCATAGTGGTAGAAGGAGACCTGGCCGCAGAAGCACATCTTGCTTTTAGAATATCCAGCAATGGTCAAAGCACCAGTTCTTGATCATAAGCGAGGAATCATAAATTAAAGTAGCAATGATGTACCACTAAAAGAGATTTTTTTTATAAACCCAATAACGTATTTCGCACAGAGTTGTAAAGTATGACACTATATTTGTCTTACGTTTCCTTATGAGTATTAAACCATTGATATCTGCTTGTTATTTTACCTAATTTGCAGTCCGTCTTTCAAGCCACCGTAAAGCATTCAAACATTTAATACTACATAATATTAAACAAGTAATTGGTAACAAACATATCGTACCATCAAATTGCCTAATATGGCTGACGTGTATCTCGATGCAAACTGTCCCAAAGCGAATCCATGTTTGCTTGAGATCCACTTTAATTACCATCAATCACTCTGATGGGAGTATCTACAGTCTGTACCGAATACGGGAGTCGTGTAATTGGTCACTTTACTGCTTTCCGCGATACGCCAATGTCAAAGTTTAATTTGTTCTTATTTTAAATATTTTATTTGTTTTTTATTTTAAATATATCTTCATCTCTTCAGATTCTTACTTCAGATACTTCCGTTTCCAAAGTTCTCACTTTAAATATAATTAACAATACTTATTAAACATTTAAATAGTTTCACTGGTCAATAACTAAACCTGTCAAGCTCAAACGACTAGGTGACACTTTTATAATGACTTTTCAGTATAATCTTAAAATGTTAAAAAAAATAAAAACGTAACCCTATAATTCTCCGCAAAGAATAAATACTGTCCTCAACTCCAATAATAGCAACGTTAATGAGATGTAAATGAGCGAAGAAGTAGCCGGCTCGGTTCGCGTTATAATAACGCGTAACGACCTACAAGTCCGGATTAAGAAGCCCTTTGACTTAAACCTACTTGCTCGTCCGATGAAATGACCAACTGGACTGTGTCCTAATCGTCGGAATTAGACTTTAACACTATATTAATAAAGTTTAAATTGCCTTGACGTAATTGGGACTTTAAATGCGATGGTACGCGGTGTTAGCAGCACAATAGTGTGGATATTTTGAAACTAATTGGCAGAAAGGGTTGCGAATTAACGTCATGGCCGCGTGTGGAAGCGGCTTTGTGTCACGGTTAATAAAGTCAATATTACTTTCAGTTGTAAATCTAGTGATTTTCTTTATTTATTATTACATTTTATGTACTAACTGCCACGATAAATCATGGTTATAAGAACTCACCTACATCTGTTTCGCCTTCGAAAAATCAGCAAAGAATTACTAGAGGAAACAACAAATCATGTGATTGCTAATAAGTTCCTTTAAATGCGAGTTTATTACTCAAATTTGTATTACTAGCTAGAAGTCAGAAATGTCATTAGAAAACCTAATTGACAAATTAAATTTGTTATTCAGTGACGTAATGATATAGAACTGAAATATCCATTGTTTGAAGAATATTAGCCTCTGGCTTCATTATACGGTCCAATCAAGTCGATTGTTAACTGAATCAAGCTTCGGTCCGTTTCGCACGATATTATTCAAATAGATATCCTTGCGTGCAATTGAAATAGCTTAGCTTAGGAATATCAAAGAACGGCGCCAGAATAGTCGATTATTGAAAATGTCTGAGCGATTACATTGCTACATGGAGATGAATTGGTAGTGCCAAAAACACCTTTTGTATGGCAATTAAGATTTATAATAATTTACCAAAAACATTAAAAGATCTTCCTTAACAATGGAATCTACTTCTGGAAAAAAATACGAAATTTTAGAGAAACATTATAATATAATCAATTTGTTTACGTAATAATATATTTTAATAACGTGATAAAATAATATAAAAATTGACTATAATGATATGACTCATATTATAATATAATATATAGCTTCTATGTAAAATTCAACCTTTTGAGACAAATTTTCACGCCATGTGTGGCAGAATATGCGAACTTACATTGTACCACCATAATACTTTTGTACTATATTCTTGCAAATAAATAGTTATTATTACTGTTTTCAATACGATATAGACACATTTGTTTATTGTCTTAATTTCAATCTCAATACACATTATTTTTTATTAAAGAACTGTTAAATAGTATTTGTTCCTTGTCTTTTAAATTGCCCATGTCTATAATCGGTCATTGTACTGAACGCTTACGCGACATCAAGTATGTATTATGCATTCTTGAATATAAACTGCATAAAACTGAGTTCGAATCAATTATTGAGGCGGGTAGACCTCGTTAGAAACGCATCACGAATCTACAATCGTCTTGAGTAAAGTACCTGGTGCTAAGGAACAATGGAACACCCAAATTAGGCCTATATAGGGACAGAGGGCTCAGATTGATGGCTTTGCGTTTTTATACGATACATATCAATACTTGAAATGACAGTTACGCATTTGAATTTCGGAGTTTCATAAATAGAAGTTAAGATTGGAACAAGATATCAAATTTTAAATCAAGTTCTCTTTTATTCTCATATATCATTATCAAGTATCTCATTGTATTTTTTATTGTTACAGGTACAAGTCCGAACACCATGCAACCTCAACCTCAACCACAGCCGCAAGGCCTAATCGTGGAGACAGGAAACGGAGCAAGTGTTCTTCAGCTTCCCGCAACGACTCTTGAACAAATTCGGCACATCGCAGCTGACCCGGGAGCGTCCACTTTGCGCTTGCCTCCGCCCGCCACCGAGATACCAGTGGGTGCTAGAGAACTGGACTACGATCTCTGTTATGTATGCAAGCACTGCAAAGTAGCCTTCCCATCTGGTGCTCCCCTTCAAGTACACCAAGCCCGATCATGCTACGCAGGCAGAGAGTCAGCTCGAGGCGTCATCCGCGTCGTGCAACCCTCTCTGGAGTGTAGAACTTGTCCTGGGGAACGCTTCCGCAATGCCATGGACTTCCGACGACACGCTGAGACAGCGGCCCACATACGAAACTCCATGTCCCCTCTCCAGCCACCTGCATCCGAGCCCCTGACCCACGAAATGGAGGACGTAGTAAACCAGATCACATTGCTGGCTGCACGGGCCGCCCAGGATTCTACCCCGAAAGACTCCAACGTCAATTTCTGCGCGCCCGGCCCACGTTTCCCGCAAGCAGGCGAGATGCCTCTAGCCAGCGCAGGTCACTAAGCCTGTTCCGAATGAAATGTATAGTTACTAACTAGAGCCCCTCGCTCATGTCGTTGTCCGACAACGCAACAGTTCACTATTAGGTCTTAAAGCTTCTTTTCGTTGACGGTAGCCGCGATAAACGGCACTTTCCTAGTTATAATATTTAAAGCTTGTAGTCGTGTAAGAGTAGGTTAATAAGAGTCCCACGCCGCCGCCGCGTACTGGGAGGCGGCGGCGGCGGCCCGCTCGCCGAGCCGTGCGCCGCACTTCATATCATACGTTAGACAGGTTTTAATATATACGTTTATCGTTGCGGCCACGAGCCGCGTCCGAGCGGGCGCGTCACTAAACTTTACCATCGTCTCCCAGGAAAGCAAGTTCCTATCTTTATGGCATATAATATTATCGATATTGATAATTACGATTTAATTATTTGTTTAAAGCTATGTAATACATACATATAATCGTTCTAATTTTAGGCATAGATATGTTCTCGTAAGAAGTTCCTGATGCATCGTAAATGTATGAAGATATATATACGTATATATGATTTTTTTAACGTGAGGCGAAGTTAGTACATAATATGTTAGGCAGTAGAGCGGTTGTCCTCTCGCGCGGGGGAATCTCGCATGAACTTAAATCCGCAGCCTTTACAGGCTGCAGGCGATGCGTGTCGCAGGCGTAAATAGCGAAGTGTTGAGGTGCGATGCCTCGAGAGCCGCCCGTGGAGACGCGACGGAACCGCGTAGGCTTATCGGTAACGGTTAATTATTATAATGATTATTAACGTAGCAAACTTTTCCAAAACGAACGAACTCGAAACTCGGGCTGTGCGCCAGCGCTCAGCCTACCTCGCAAACAAGTGAGTTTATTTTGGAACTAAGTGTGATTCTTGAATTTTTATTGATATTGTAATGATTATTAGTAGTGGCATAAGTGATTGAAGGAATGGGGATACATGCGTCCGTGTGTCCTTGTATCGTCATCACCTTGCTGTGTGCGTGGAGTCCCTTATATTTTCAATGGCACAGAACGTTATTAAAAATATTTTACATATTTACATTTTATCTAGCGGAGTCTAATACAATATTTTATCTATGAGCGGATCCTACTACAACATTGAGTTTGATTTTGAAGTGCAATGTTTTATTCCACCGGTAGCCGGCGGTCCTTGTTATGTCTTTTGTGCAATGGGGCGCGCTGCGTCTCCCTCTGATCGCCTTACACCTCCCCGGGGGCATCTGGGGTTACATTAAGCTTTCACAAATTTCATTTCGTACTATATCGAAGAACTCCATCGGAGACGGAACGAGACAAGATACTATAGATAGTGTCACGAATCACCATCACGTGTGAAGGGAGACGCATTGCGCGCACGCAACATTGCCGACGCGAAGGCGCGCGTTTATACAACATTATTATTTTGTTTGACGGTGTTGAGATTAGTGTTTAATAAGGTAATATTGAAGTTTGTTGAAGCGTTTCGTTTGCAAGCTCCATCGTAACGTTGTCGCCGTTTAAAAGTTTTTAATTAAATTATTTTGATCGTTTTACAGTGGAGGGTACGCAGTAAGTTCGGTTAGCGTAGCGAAGGTGGATATGTCGGTAAAACGATGTTGTGTCTCCGCGGACGACAGCCCGCGGAATGAATCATGGTTCCTATGTATATTTCAATATAAGTGCATCTAGTTTGGTTATTATTTCCGAACAAATTTTAATATTTAAGATTAATTCGGGTGAGTCTGTTGCATCCGCTACTAGGCGCCGCGGCCGCCACGGTCATGTTATTGTTTTATTCTTAGCATATTTTGTTCCCCAATATTGTCTGATATTCAGCACTTTTATATTATTTTGTTACACCACAACTATTTATGTGCGTAGAATTTCATTAGATATGTAATGGTTACTAATACAAAATAAGTTTTACGATCGTAATGAAGGTAGCGTGTCTATCATAGTTCCTATACTGTATTGTAATACTAAATTATTTTAAAAATTCTTTAATAGAAAAATATACCGTTCCTACTATTATAAACTGTAACGAAAATTTTAATGTGAACTAATGTAATGTGTTAACGCGCAATGCATGATGTTTTAATGTTACTCGTCTGAATTTTAATTCGTTTGTCATCAAAGTCACGTGTCTATGTTTGTGTTTAGATGATTTTTATGTGATTTGTTCGAATTTCCTTTGTTATAACATATGTAGCGGCGTTCTACGCGCTACGACCCGTAGCAAACAACAGATAACGATACATTGTCAAGTGTAAATGGTAAAAATAAACTCAAAGTTAGTTTATCAGATACTGGAGTTTTATTTTAAATCAACCTGGTAATACCTCACTCGTGGTATGTTTTTTTTTTTTTATAGAACGGGGGAAAGAGGAGGCTATGTGTACCCCGCCCTGGACACTCTCAATGCCAGAGGGTCGGAGTCTGTTTAAGATTGCTTTTTTAGGACCCTAATCGAATTGTTGGAATCTCTGGACTGATTCCAATATTTAATTTTGTGTCATGTCTTAAAGTAAGTATTCGGACATATAGATGATACCTAAGCATAAGCTGGGACTGCTTTTGCTGGCTGTTGCCAGAAAACTAAATAAGATGAATATGAGTATAATAATATGGGAAGTTAATTTGAAATATTTTACTAAAATAAAAACTCAACTGCTATATGCGCAGCAGCTATTTCTTTCGTATCACTGATAATTTTTCACAAGAAAGAAATTGATCAGCGATTTACAGAAGTAAATTGCTTCGCTGTGGTAGCACCCAGCATCAGATTCTGGTCCAACCAAAACTTAATTCCAAAATGTGGGAATTTATTCAAATTGTTTAGATGCAATTAAGAGAACTTGCTATCGAGATTTTTTACGATATAAAATATATTTTAAAGATACAGCGATATTTCGTCGCTCTACTGCGAAGTTGGCGCCTGGTAGAGAGTACTGGTGACCCCAGAGCTGGTGCTTTCCTTGCTCAACAAAAAGTATCGCAATGCAGGAAATACTGCCAACATTAACGGTACTCAGGCACAGGACAGCACCAAACCTTTTAAATTGATTTGTGTTTTAAGTTTTTATTTTGGTTATACATGGAATTATTAGTTTCCGTTCCTTATGTGATAAAAAGTAAACAATATTCCTAAAGTGTCTTTTTTTTATTAACTGTTACTAAAGCGTGTATTACAAGTTTCATCTATATCATATCATCTCTGACATAAGTTTACAATGACAGTAAAGAAGAAAAGAGAAATAAGAAATAACTAAATCTTTTTTTACGAGTAAATCATGGTAACAAATATTGCTACTACTTACAATAAACTTTACAAAAGAGATTGTGACTTTACATGAATTACAATCTAGCCTACACAATAATTATGGCTGATAAGAAATATTATGTTGACTTAATTTTCTACAATACTAGTGAATAGCTTAAACTAAGGTAATGTTCAGTAACAGTCTTAGTGTTAATGAACATTACCTTAGTTATAATATTTTGACACTATGTTGGTGTGTCTGAGATACCGTTTTGCACTTGCACGTTTTCACTATACTAGTTTTACTAACTCAAAAGGTTTAGTTCTCTTTAGGGCTCTTGTTCCTGTTGTATCAAGAAGTTGGATTGCCTCAGCGTTCAGCCTCCTCAGATACGTATACGATATACGATAAGTCCAAGTTTTATATAACAAACATAAGATACATGAATTAAAATTCGTTAGTTAATTATTCATTTTCTCACGCCAACGACACAAACCGTTTAGATATAATCTTAATATATATAAATCTCGTGTCACAATGTTTGTCCTCAATGGACTCCTAAACTACCGAACCGATATCAATCAAATTTGCACACCATGTGCAGTTCGATCCAACTTGAGAGATAGGATAGTTTAAATCTCAAATTATAGTCGCAATTTTAATTTATTGCAAAATATTTGTTTATTATTTGATACGATTCTAACAGATGGCGCTGTGTTAAAATTATCAACGTTTCACATAAGCTGTCATCTACCTTTCACATAAGTTCTCCTACCGTTTCCCTTGAATAGTTTACTACTATGTAATATAACAAAAATCTTAGCCAGAGCAACGCTTGGCCGAGTCTACTAGTATTCATTATAAGAACCTTTAAGTGAAAAGATAGTATTACAATTTATAAAGCAAAAGACAAAGCAGAAAAAGATATTAAAATGTATAGTTCTTATAATTAAATGGGTTTGCTAGTAATGGAATTGAAAACACCCAAACCATTTCGTAACAAAAAAGGTGGAAGGTGGAAATCTTAAAAAGATTTACGTAAATTTTTCAATTATAAATTTAATTTGGATAAATTATAATAGCAGTTACCAATTTATTTATGTAAATGAATAAACGTTATAAAAATAATCTGTTTTGCTAAATTCTAATTTATAATGAAATAAAAATAAATCAGTGGCGCTACAACCTTTTTAGATCTAGGCCTCATATTTATGTATCTGCTTCATGAACATTTGTCAATCTAATAGGCTAGTAGGTGATCAGCCTCCTGCCTGACACACGCCGTCGACATTTTGTGTCTAAGGCAAGCCGGTTTCCTCGCTATGTTTTCCTTCACCGTTCGAGCGAATGTTAAATGCGCACATCGAAAGAAAGTCCTCCTAAAGACCTCCTCAAAGACCTCAGGGAAGAGAATCACACGCTGAAGCCATTAGACCAACACTACTCAACTTATATTACAATATTTTATACACTTATTTTAAAACTTTTTATATTTCCTCACACATAATACAGCATTAAGATCTGTCCAGCCCACATTTTAAAAATATTTAATTTTAACACATCGAAACAAATACTAGTGTACCAACCCAGCGTTATAACAAAACCAAAAAGAAGAAAGTGAAATGAAACCTGGCGATTGGCCGCCTCAAAAATTATGCATTAACCAATTTTATAAAACCACATTTCAAACACTGTACCATATTAGGTCCTCGTTTTATATAAATACTGTCACATATCAAAAAGAGCTAAATAAAGTTT